ACTGATAAAATTAAATTTTTGAATGCTATTGAATACTTATTCGTGCAGCATCAAAAGTTGTCACACTTAAAATTGTCTAGACCGGTGCCCATTATCGAGGTGATTTACCACAATTACCATGTTTGGCAAAATGGCTAACAACACTGTTATACACAACACGTGTTTTTGTGTGCAAAGTATCCAGTACTGTGTACTCAAAACTGAGATTAAAAGAGAAGCTCTTTAGTTGTATATATTGGGTGTCTGTCGGCATAGGTTTCATTTTACCAACTTCATATGTTATCACGTAACCTGATGTAAATAATTGAAAATTAAATGCATTCGTGGCTTCGTTGGGTTTCCAATTACGAGGTAGATATAGTTGACAATCGTATAAAATAAATACGAAAGCCGAGTAGCTCGCCGTGAGATTTCATCGTGGCATGGGAGCAAAACGTGTACGAGTCCTTTGAGGACAAATGAATCTGTTACGGGAAATTTTAAGTGCTGGCTTACCACATATCCGGTGAAGTGGTGAGGAATAACTTGGTGGGAAAACCTAAATGTATGAGTAGTTATGAAAGTCGTGGAAATGTGAAAACCGTTAATGCGCATTGAAGCATTGCGGCATACTCTTTTCTGCCCACAAAACACTATAGATAATGAAGAGCCCTGTGCACAGTAAGACGTATGTAAGCTACTACTTTAGTTTTTATATCCGTAATGAGGCTTATAAATCAGTTTATCATTTAAGATTTTTATATTTTGTGTTTTCATATCATCAGACAAATTAAGATTTTTGTGACAGTCCACCTGATGGTAAGTAGTTGCTGTGGCCCATAGACATCTATCTTCGCTTGCGAATTAAAATGCAGATGCGTTGTCAGCTGTGGGGACTACAATGGAATTCCTCTTTTCCAGTAAAAAATGTTTACTCAATATTCGGAACGTTTGACTGCAGACCGGGAACGTCATGCGAGATCACGTGCTTCGGTATCATTTACTCAATATGAAGCGAGGTTAGCAGCAGATAGGGAGAGCCGTTCGGTAAGTAGGACACATGAAACCCAGCAGGAGCATGACTTACGGTTAGAATTGGCAAGGGGATATTATGAAAATTCGCTTCAAGACCGTAACGAACTTTTGTCTTTACAAAGGGAAGGAGTGCAAGCAATTAGGAGTAACGAGACAGAGAATGAACGTGCAAATCGGTTACAAGCTGATCGTATTCGTACTTTTATAAATCGTTCGTAAATGGACAGAGAGAACTACACTGATCTCCCCTGGGGTGATAAAGAAAATAGTGGCTTTACCTACACTTTTAATATTAACTATAGTGAATTTGTAGAGATCGGAAGAATGATTCGCACTTGTAGTCATTGTCAATCACTTAAGTGATCTAAAGAATCAAACGGGTTTTGCTGTTCAGCTGGCAAGGTACAATTGGAAATATTTCAAGAGCCCCCAGAACCTCTTAAATCGCTACTTAATGGGGACCATCCACATTCCAAGCAGTTTTTAGATAATATCCGTTCATACAACGGGGCATTCCAGATGACTTCTTTCGGGGCCAAGCAAGTGGTACATGGAACATTTATGCCTAATTTTAAAGTGCAGGAGCAAGTCTATCACTTAATTGGTTCGCTTTTGCCTGAGACAAAACCAAAGTGTTTACAAATATATTTCGTTTCTGATTACCATGAACAAGCCAATATAAGAAGGCAGAATTTCCCAAATTTAAACGCTAATGTTATCTCCGAGCTTCAGGGTATGCTACATCAGGTCAACCCTTATGTATCCAATTTCAAAGCCGTACTAGAGTCGATCCCTCAAGATGAATACAATCATTATAAGTTTGTTATGAGCGCGGATAAGCGACCTTTAGTGCAACATTCCGGCCGTTATAATTCTCCATCCACCAATGAAGTGGCAGTTATCCTGGTGGATCAGCAAGGCGACAAGCGCGACTAATACGTACGTATAATTAGTACGTACGCGTGATGGCCGCCTGCAACGAATTAGTGAGACTCATCGTTCTTACGACTCCTTACAATACCCACTTATTTATTGTCGCGGTGAAGATGGTTACAACTATACGGTTTATCAAGTTGATCCTGCTACAGGAGCACCTCGGTTAGACAGACAAGTTTCGGCTCTGCAATTTTATTGTTATCTCATGCAATTAAGACAACGTCGTTTTGTATATTTACAACGATTTCGTGGCTTATTTAACCAGTTTATTGTTGATATGTACGCAAAAGTTGATACAGAGCGTTTTGTATTCATTCGTACTCATCAGAGACAGTTGCGTGCCGAAAATTATGTGGATCTTCATGATGCAGTACAGGGAGATACACATATAGAAAATTTAGGACGTTTAGTTATATTGTCTTCCAGCTTTATCGGGAGTCCGCGAAATATGAATGAACGCGTTCAAGACTCATTCTGTTATGTTCGCAAGTATGGTAGGCCAAATCTTTTCATAACAATAACTACTAACCCTAAATGGATCGAGATTTCTCAAGAGCTGCTAGAAGGTCAATCATCGTACGATCGACAGGATTTAATTAGTCGAGTTTTTTATTTAAAGTTAAAGTTGTTAATCAACTTATTAACCAAGCGAAACGTTTTTGGCGCTACGTTATGCTATACATACAACGTGGAATGGCAAAAGAGAGGGCTGCCCCACGCACACATTCTTCTATGGTTATTGGAAAAAATTCGTCCTAATGACGTTGATAATATAATAAGTGCAGAATTACCAAATCCCACAAATGATCCTATTTTACACCAAATTGTTAAAACACAGATGATACACGGGCCTTGCGGTGCATTAAATAATAATTATCCGTGCATGAAGGATGGACAATGTACGAAAAAATATCCAAGACCCCTTTTAAGGGAAACAATCACTGGTGAAGATGGTTATTCCAAATATCGGCGGCGTGCTCCACAGTATGGAGGATTCACAACAAAATTGAGAATGTTTGGACAAGATGTAGAAGTAGATAACAGGTGGGTAGTGCCGTACTCACCTGTGCTATCGAGAACCTTCCAAACCCATATAAACATAGAAATGTGTAACAATGTTGAATCCATTAAATACATTTTTAAGTATGTAAATAAAGGGACGGATCAAGCAACACTTGCAATGATCAATGACAGATTTGACGAAATTACAAGATTTAAATCAGGGCGATATATAAGTTCTTCGGAGGCAGCATGGCGAAAATTCAGTTTCCCAATAAGTGAGCGTAATCCCCCGGTAATGCATTTAGACATTCACGTGGAAGGCGGACAACGCGTATATTTTCACCCAGATAATATTGTGGAGCAACTAGAGAATCCTAGACAAACAACTTTACTGGCGTTCTTTCGATTATGCGAATCTGACGATTTCGCAAGAACTTTGCTTTATGACGAAGTTCCAGCGTATTACACATACGATAAGCAACACAGGATTTTTAATCGTCACCGACGTGGTATTCCTGTTGAAGGTTTTCCCAACCTTTTTAAAGAACATGTGCTAGGCAGAGTGTACACTGTACATCCCAATAACTCCGAATGTTTTTACGTACGTTTACTTTTGCATACGGTACGAGGACCCACATCATTTTTGGCTTTGAAAATGTTCAACAACACTCAATATCCCTCTTTTCAAGCTGCTTGCCGGGCTCGAGGGTTATTGGAGGACGACCAGCACTGGGACAACACCCTCGCTGAAGCATCTGTTGGTGATAGCCCGCGTCGTTTACGGAATTTATTTGCGGTGTTGTTAGTATTTTGTGGCCTTTCAGATGCTAATCAACTTTGGGTTAAATACTAAAAAAGTTTAGCTGAAGATTACATCAATTTTGAACATGGTGAACTAAATCAAGAAATGCTCAATGACGTATTGAATCGTTGTTTATGTGATATACAAAGCACAGTTTTTTCAATTGGTGGTAATCCCTTAATACGCTATGGATTACCTAAACCAATCTTAAATGTCGAACAAACTAATCGAGAGTATGCAACGGAATCCAATTACGACTTAGGAGAACTAGCCCAAATTCTGCAAGTAGGTGTACCTATCATGACCCCCGAACAAAGAATTATTTTCGATCGTATATGTAACAGCGCTTTGAACTCCTCTGGTGAAATGTTTTTTTTTTTTGGATGCCCCTGGCGGTACTGGTAAAACATTTCTTACAAAACTTATCCTTGCGCAAATACGTAGCCAGGGAAAAATTGCATTGGCCGTGGCATCGTCCGGAATTGCAGCTACCTTACCTCCAGGAGGCAAAACTGCACATTCCATGTTCAAAATACCCACACAATTAGACGTCACTGAAACCCCCATTTGCGATATTTCACGTAATAGTGACATAGCTCGAGTACTTCGTGAGTGCACCTGAATTGTATGGGATGAATGTACAATGGCGCATCGCAAAGCAGTAGAAGCCGTCAATAGAACGCTGCAAGATATACGACACAACAATCACCTTATGGGCGGAGTCACTATGCTCTTCTGTGGAGATTTTCGGCAGTCATTGCCAATAGTTACACGCGGGACAAGAGCCGATGAAATTAGAGGATGTTTAAAGAATTCAATTCTTTGGCCCCATATTACAATGTTAAATCTCACCACAAACATGCAGGCGCAAAGAAGCGAGAACACAAATGCTCACGATTTCTCACAGTTTTATTGAGCATTGGTGAAGATAGGTTTCCTGAGGTTGATGGTAGAATATATTTAATTAATAATTTGTGCAAAACAGTCCTTAACATTGAGGAACTTATTATATCTGTTTATGAAGATCTGGCTGGTATAGTAAACCAATGAAACTCTTGACTTTGTGAGCGCGCTATACTTACGCCTCGTAATGATCAAGCTGTAAGTATCAACATGACCATTTCAGAATGTATTGAAGGGGAAAACGTTATCTATACGTCAATAAATAGAGTAGTTGACCGTAAAGAAGTAACAGCTTATCCTGTAGAGTTTTTGAATGCATTAACGGCGTCTGGGCTCCCTGCACATGAAATTATCCCCACATGAATATGTCCCCATAATTCTTTTAAGAAATTTAAGTCCACCAAAATTATGCAATGGTACTCGGCTCAAAGTAGTTGCTCTTCAGAGACATGTGGTTGAGGCAGAGATACTTACCGGTTGCGGTGCGGGTGAGAAAGTTTTTATTCCACGAATACCGATTATTCCGAATAACTTTCCGTTTCGTTTTAAACGGATCCAACTGCCGGTCAGTGTTTGCTTTGCAATGACGATAAATAAGGCACAGGGTCAAACGCTACGCAGAGTAGGCGTTGACCTTACGAACAGCTGCTTTTCACATGGGCAGCTCTATGTCGCAATGTCGCGTATCAGCGATCCCACTAATTTGTTTATTTTAGCACCACAAAACAAAACGGCGAACGTTGTTTATGAAGAGGTCCTTTGTTAACTGAATGTATTTTTTTCACATTTTTTTTACTTTTCTAGTTCTAACACAACCGTGATTAAATAAATAAAACCATGAAATTAAATTGCATATTAATATCTCCTTTTTGACTCCTTGTTTTGTATTTATTAAGATTTTATTATTCATAAACCAGAAATGGATTAGGTAGTAGAAAGCTGGCATTACGTTTTCTTAAAATGTGGATATTATCATAAAATGGATCATCCTTGCCGTCAAGTCATCTAAAATTAAAAGTAAATAAAAATGATCTATTTTAGCCTTTTTCACGAAGGTAACGTTCAGGTAGGCATAAAATAATCTACTTGATTATAATGAACATATTATATATACTCGGTTTGAAAATATAAAAGAATTGGAGAAAAAGATTACATGCGAACGAAGTCGCGGGCACAGCTAGTTGAGAATAAATGTAGATGTCTATGGGCCACAGAATCCACTTACCACCGATTGGACTGTGTGCTCGTATGTCACCCATATTCTACTAAAAAAAAGCACTGAGTTGACATTCATTCTTTAACTATAAATTATCTTTTTTATAGAAGGGGCAAACGAGTATGCGGCTTACCTGATGGTAAGTGACTACCGCCGCCCATGAACAACGGCAACACCAGGGGAATTGCAGATGCGTTGCCGGCCTTATAGAAAGTAGTTATTTACCTTAAATATTTAACAGAATATTTAAGGTAACTCATAATATCTGGTAATGAATCACTAGAATTATAGTTCAGTTTTATTTCCTGGTATTGGGGGAGGGGGTGCGGTGGGCATTGCATAATATTTCTCATTAATAGCATTCCAAAAAAGAATGCGTTGCTGTATCAGAGGTCCTCGCAGTTTCATTGTGTTATCGAGAGACATATGAGGTCCACCGTTTGCATCGGTAGGCGGCCACATTGGAAGGTCTGACCCCTCTGGAACCGGTTTTCTGCAATTATCAGAATATAGTCGTTTTTTTTTTGCTCAGAAATTATTTTAACTAATCTAACAATATTTGCCATATTTGCCATAGACCTGGTAAGACATGCAGGAAGTCGATAGATGCAGGTGGCTCAGGACCGTGCTTTGTGGCATTCTTTGGGGGAGGCCTATGGTCAGCAGTGGACTTGTGAAGGGCTGTAATGATGATGATGATGAAACTAACAAGGTATCAAAAAAGTATGAAGAAGTAGCGAAAATTACTTTGAAGCAAGTTGTTGGAATTTATTTACAGGACAGACTTTCACTCGAGGTAGTTGCTTTAAAAATCTATAACCCTATCTTGTCCCGTGGGTATAAAACCCATTAGACGAGAAATGCCATGTTCAATTCAATAGATGGCGTGTATATACTGTATGTAAGGAGTAACTTAGGCTACTTTTATTTTAGGGTTCCGCGCGAAAAAATTCCACGCGGGCGATGTCGCGGGGAACAGCTAGTATAATTAATATTACATATTACAATAATATTACGTGGTATAGCCATGCTGCAGCTATATTACTGGTATAGTTGTAACACAAAACGGGGAGGGACTCCCCGGTCGAGCAGAATACCAGGGTAATATAGCAGCTAAACGCTGCTGTGTTTCGTACGGTGAGTGTAGAGAACCGAAGAACCTTTTTATTGGAAACGAGGCATTTCATCTCAGTCCTCAGGGAAGATAACGCATCTGCATTTTGATTCGTAATCGAGGATAGATGTAAATACCTATGGGCCACAGCAACCACATACCATCAGGTAGAATGTATGCTCATATGTCGCCCTTATCCTTAAAACAAATTATCATAATATACTTAGACTCGAAAACAAACAATGATTTCGAATATAATTAAAAACCATTATTATCTACAACTTAGCAGTTAAATATGCCGACTGCAAAGCCAGACGATTGCTAAACAAATTAATATAATATATTATATTTTTAAATATATTGAATACTAGACTAGATGGCCTGGCAAATGTTGTTCTGCCCTTTCTGGTAGTGTTGTTCTGCCCTTTGTGAGGTGACACGAATTCATTACGGGACTTTTACCGCTACCTACCTAATTATTAATAATTACACCTAGCGGGCTAAGATTTTCTGACTTTCTGTTTTTGCATCAAACCAACATATTTTGTGTATATGACTCATAAGTTTAGTCTACAAATAGAGAATTTGTTAATAACTATCACTAGCGCGCCACCTATCAGATCCTAGCATAACTGTGAGCCATCACCTCAACAAAAAATATTTTATAGGCAAGTCTATTTGTATATTATATGTATAATTTTTCGATACGACTCTAAGGATTTAAATAAATTTAGGTAACGTTTTACTTTTCAAGTGTATCTGGATTGGTTTCATCTCTGAGATATTTTTTTTAATGTTCGAACGCTCAATTACTTCGGTGTAAAAATGACCTCAATCTGTCAAGTCGTAAAAAGTAACGAAGTGACTGACAAACGCAAAAACGATTATTATAATATATAGCGATTAATTTGGTGTTCTATTAGCAATCTGGTACTGACACGGGTAATGTTGCAAAACATTACACTAGATAGAGTGATGATATGACACAATGGATGAAAGTGGTTCTTGATACAGGACCATACATTGTTACAATATATGGAGGAGACCTATGTTCAGTAGTGGACTAGTTATGGGCTATAATTATGATGATAATGATGATATTTTAAACCACATTACCCTGTTGTGATAAAGTTGAACCATAATTCTCTCATCAACTGCTTCATATTTGTAAAATCTTGTGTATCAGCTGGAGCATTTGGGAAAAATACGTCTCTTATAGCCATTGTTTGTGCGCAATGGTTAGCACCACGCACATTTGTGTAGGGCACTAACGGAACATTATCATCCACAAAGGAATATTCATATAAATATATATCGCTGTTACCAGATTCTACTTGCAACTGAACAGACTTAAGTGTGCCATTTGCAAATATGACATCCGTAAAATAATCTATATATCTAAATATAGTTTCTTTGCCAACTGATTTTTTACCAAAGTAGAACTCTTTAATTCTCTGCGCAACTTCTTTTTTTTCTTCTGAGTTAGAAAATTTAAGGTCGCCGGGCAAGAAATCGGCAAAATTTTCATTCATTTTACTATACCAGGTTTCAAAAAGCGGCATTCTAAATAATCCTTCCATTTCAGCAAATCCAAATAACATTGGTAGTTTATGATTGCGGCCACTTTTCAAAACGTTCAACGGAGCATCGTCAAGAAATCTTTCCTCACTTTTTTCCCTTTCAACACAAGGTACAAAAAGAAACGTAGAATCTGGCTCATCGAAAAGATTAATAGAATTTAACGTATCGTATGATGCTGATTTATAAAAATTTTCTAAATCATAAATATCGTTGTTCTTATTTGTAAAGTTAAGCATTTTCGCATATTTCCAAGCAATTTCTACTGGGTCAGTTTGTACACTAAAACAGAGAGACTTGAACCACTTTCGGGTATACTCTTATTAAAAAGACCTTTGGTTATCGGCGAAACAAGATAAAGATCAACCGATGATGGAACTTGCACTAAATCCATTGATTGTAATATCATCAGGATTTCCGCCAAAACTGGCAATATTTTTTTTCACCCAACGAAACAGTGCGACTTGGTCCTTCATGCCAGCATTACCGGGTACATCTTCTGTGCCTAAACATAGAAAACCATGTACACCGAGACGGTAATTGAAATTAACTATTATTATATTTTTGTCTTTGACCAGTTGTTTTGCAGTCATTAAATCATCATTACATATGCTCCTCCATGAACATGCATAACCACAGGTAAATTCTTCTTACCCGTGACAGGTACGTATATATTGGCGATTAAGTAGTCTCCCTGTTACTTTAAGTATATTTCCAAAGGCATATCAGGTAGTACGCTTTGTGGGCATATTATATTTTTAATGACGGCTTCGAATGGTTCTGTCCATTGTGACGGAGGAAGTGGTGCCTATAATAAGAATTGAATATTATTTTAAAAGATTACATGGTCATTTATATATTAGATAATTTTTTTTTATAGGAGAGGGGGCTAACGAGCATGCGGCTCACCTGATGGTAAGTGACTACCGCCGCCCATGAACAACTGCAACACCAGGGGAATCGCGATGCGTTGCCGGCCTTTTAAAAAGGAGTACGCTCTTTTCTTGAAGGTCCCTAAGTCGTATCGGTCCGGAAAAATCGCTGATGGTAATCGATTCCACAAGGAGGTCGTGCGAGGAAGAAAACATCTTCTAAAGCGCACAGTGGTGGACCGCCAATCATCCAGATGGTGTGGATGGTATCGGGAGTTCTGCCGCGATGTGCGTTCGTGAAATTTGGCGGCTGGGATTAATCCGAACAATTCCTCAGAGCACTCCCCATGGTAGATGCGAAAGAAAATGCAAAGGGATGCAACATCTCTTCGCAGTGCCAATGAATCGAGCCGATCGGAAAGGGCTCGGTCGTCGACAATTCGAGCCGCTCTGCGTTGGATGCGGTCAAGTGGAAGGAGCTGGCACTGGGGAGCCCCTGCCCAGAGATGGGAACAGTATTCCATGTGAGGCCGAACTTGCGCCTTGTAAAGTAGCAGGCGGTGTGCCGGCATGAAATACTGTCCCGCTCTGCTGAGCACGCCAAGCTTTTTAGAGGCCAATTTGGCCTTCCCTTCCAAGTGACCACGAAACTGCACGTCACTCGATATGTCGACTCCGAGGATACCGATACTGGCTGAGGCAAAAAGGGGAGTGCCTTGAAACTGAGGAGATACGACAAAGGGGTTCTTTTTAGCGGTAAACGCGCAAACTTGTGTCTTCTGAGGATTAAATTGGACTAGATTTAGTCGCCCCCAATCCGAGACTTTGTTCAGCAAAGACTCGACTTCAGACACAAGTTTGTTCCGGTACTCAGCGACGTTTTCCCGAGAAATATTGGCACGGCCGGTGTATAGAGCATCACCAGTGCTGTCATCCGCATAGCAATGAATGTTACCAGTAATGTATTAACTATAATTTTTTATTAAAATTGGTCCAGCACTAATTAAAATAAATAAATAATTAACCGAAGGTATGGCAAACTAACTGAATTTCACAATTGCTAATTTGTCACATCAATTCAGAAAAAATTATAGATACGCAAAGTGATTTATGATGAATATGGCCTTACATATTATAAGCTAAAACAATACATTTCTGGTCATCAACCTCTATATAGGTTTTCCCATAATATTGAATACATAGATTGGTATGATACATCGGTATCACAGTGGCTAAGCATTTAGTTGCGGCGCTGCAGAGCATACATTAATTATTCCGGTACGGTTGTATATTGTTTGTTTGTGAGTGTGCAATTTATGTACATAAAATATATTCACGAAACAGAACAGATCAAAGAAATAAAGGAATAATATTAAAAATATAGAGCTTGGAAACGCGGTGGCGTTCGATTCCTGCACAGAAATATTATAGTCTACAAATAATTTTTCAAGGTATTTTTTTTTGTAAAACGCTTTTACGACGTGGAAGAGGGAGGAACACAAGAGAAATTCCCAGTGTGTGGGAAATTTTTTTTTAATAAGAATAGAAGCACTAAGAAAATGAAATCTATTTGTTATCTTTATTTACATGTTATGATATTTAATAATATTTATTACAATACATTAAAAAAAAACTAAAATATTTCCAGTAGACCAAATATTACGTATTTTATCAATGATGCGTATCATACATAAATCTGCGATTTACGTACGGAAGGAATGAATATGTATAGATAAGTAAATGTTTCTTAATTAACATAGAACATTAATATAACAAATAGTACCTGGAATTTCTGATCACCCGTAGGCGCAGTTGAGTACGGTATGCCATAAAATGCATACAAATTATCATTTTGTGCCTTATATCCGCGCACGGGCCCCTGGGCTATATTTACTAGCCTTGCCTCTCGTGTTTGTGCTCCCCCTAGCACCGATATCAAACATAATAAGAAGATACACTTCCACATAGCGCGACGCTATACTAAAATACTAAAAGGTAGGTACTCTGTTAAAATACTGCCGCAGCTACGAATATTTATTACACCTAAGGTTGGCAACTCTACTGTAGGTATATATATTATCTACCTACAGTATATATACCTAGACCGTATATCTACTCGACGCGCGCGTGCACAATTCCGCCTCCCCGAACAAGTTAAATATTGCAAATTCACATATCCACGTAACGAAGTAACACGCACTTAATCTAACTATCTGGACCCGACAACGGTCGCGTAAACTTCGGCTGCAATAAACGAGCTACGCGGGTTCCCCGCTTCGCGGCCCGTGGGCAACTCCCCCCATCATCGCCCACGCGTTGAGCCACTGCAAGCCGCACACCGCCGCCCCACCTGGCGGCGTTTTTTCACCTACATACTATCGGGTGACGCGACAGCTCGAACGCAATCGGATGGCGTTCAACATAACCAAATTTAGGCATAAACAATGCTTTTACATATTTGAGATATTCCACATATTTATTTTCTTTCATAGACCGTACTATTATGTCTTATACATATGGGACTTCAAGTCAACTCTGCTATCATAATGCTTATGCATCATATAGATCCTGTATATTAATGCTTTGTTTCCATAGACCTTACTATCATAAGTCCCTAATACTGGACTAGTCATTGGCTACAGTACTAGTAATAGTCGGTCAGCCGATCACCCCAATCTATATATGTACAACCTTGGGTATGTGTCTCCGGCAACGCCCTTCTTATAAGGAAACATTACATGAGCACCCTCATTAACTTAGAAATTTTCCGAGTAATACAAGAAGATCCTCATGAACTTTGAAAATTTCTGAGTAATACAAGAACACCCTCATTAACTTCAATTTTGAGTATTACAGGAACACACTCTTGAACATTAAAAAAATTTGAGTAATACAAGATCACCTTCTTTAACTTATATAAATATTTGACCCATTTTTATTAATTATATTACAAATGTTATTTATCTTTATTAAGTGGCGAAGCTTGCGAAGTCACTTATTGATTTCACGATGTTTGTCCGTCTGTCCGTCTGTCCCACGATTATCTCGAGAATGATTTTGAATTTTCAAATTCTGTTTTCAGCAATCGATTACCCAGGCATCTGAACCTCCTATTTTGAAACTGATTGCTCAACGGCAACCGTTAGAAACCGCTACAAAGCTGATTGCTTCGCCACTTTGCTATGCTGTTAGCTTGCTAGGTTTATTATTTCAATATAAACGACTTTTATTATTTAATACATTTTGAATATTTTAAATAGAATTTTAATAAATTTGGAGATTTTTAAACACAATGTTACTATAATATTCAATATTCCAAATGAATATATTTGAACTTTTATGCTTGTTATTCCATTTTAGTTGTTTAAAATATAATTTCTAAGATATTTTAAAATGTTAAAAAATTATATTTTAAATAAATAAAATTATTTAATTAAATTAAATTTAATTATAAGTTAGACTTGACGACTTCCAGCTTCTCGAACAAGCCGGTTTCCAAAAAGGCTTTAGCACCATGGGCCGCATACATACCCTTCGGCAAGTTGTACAGAATTCCGAGGAGTACAATTTGCCACTATGTGGACTATGAGAAAGTCCTTGATTCTGTCAAAATTTGGGCGGTGCTGAGGTCCCTTCAGCGGTGCCAAGTTGACTATCGGTATATCGAAGTGTTGAAGTGTTTGTACAGTAGGGCTACGATGGCTATCCGAGTACAGAACCAGAGTACGAAACCTATCCAATTGCAGAGAGGTGTACGACAGGGTGACGTCATATCCCCGAAACTCTTCACCGCTGCATCCAAGACGTTTTCAAGCTTCTGGACTGGAAATGATACGGTATCAATACCAATGGCGAGTACATCACTCACCTCCGATTTGCCGACGATATAGTCCTTATGGCTGAATCGCTAGAGGACCTAAGCACTATGCTCAATGACCTCAATAGTGTTTCCCAACGGATAGGTCTTAAGATGAGCATGGACAAAACCAAAGATCACGTTTAATCTCCATGTCACACCTATGCCTATGTATAATTGTTGGGAGCACTAAGTTCGAAGTTGTTGACGAGTATGTTTACCTGAGACAAATAGTCCGACTAGGTAAGTCCAACTTCGACCGAGAGGTCAATCGACGGATTCAACAACGGTTGGGCAGCGTTCGGAAAATTACGACACATCTTCTCGTCGGGTATATCTCAAAACTTGAAAACGAGACTATACAACCAGTGCGTGTTGCCAGTGATGACATATAGAACTGAGACGTGGTCCTTCACTGCTGGCCGGATGAGGAAGCTCAAGGTCGCTCAACGAGCTATGGAGAGGGCTATGCTCGGAGTTTCTCTGCGTGATAAACTTAGAAATGAGGATA